TTTTCATTTTCAATTTCATAGATTGTTTATAATGACTTTTGCTAAAATTTCAAAATCAAAAGTTATCAAAACAAATTCTATGGGACTGAGAAGTATTATTTTCTACTTTTTAGTCCATTTATAAAAGCGTTGTATATTAAAAACTTTTTTTTATATTATTTATTTGTTTTCTTTTTTTTTTTGTCATGATTTTGTGTGTCTGAGAGTCAGTAACAACACCATAATATTTTTAAGGCGCAGCGGAGCACGCCTAGTATTTGCTAGTTTTAAGTAAAATTTCTTCACACTTTCTTCTTTTTAATAATTTCTGCACAGATATCTTTCCATTAAAAATAAAGACTTCACTGCATTACCATTTCGCACAATAACACGAATAGAATTTAGCTTGAGAACAGCAAAATCGAAGGCACATACAGTGAAATTCCTCATAACCGGACACTCACAGTCGCAGTGTTTTTGTCCGGTTATGGGAGATGTTCGCTTATGAGGGGGGAGGAGGTAGGTTCACAAAAAATACATATGTGTCAATTTATCAGAAATTTTACAAATTAATCAATATTTAATAATGAGTATAACATATTCGAACATTTATATTTTTATTAAATATTTATATATCGTCACTGGACACGAATAAAGGCGCGAGCTTAAAAGTTAACCGCGAAAAAAGACGCGTAAATAAAACTTCAGCGAAGCTACATATGGGTGGTTCACAAGGTGTCGTTAGTGTCGTATTGTCGTATGTCGTAAAGTTTTTAACGGCTAAATAAATGTTTAGGGGACTTGAAATCCACCACCACCAACTATTTTTTATCGGTGTGAAATTTCATAACAAAACTTTTATGTTAACTAGCGAATTCCTAAAATATAGTTTCAGCCGATTAAAGTTTATGACATACAACAGTACGACAGTATACAACACCTTGTGAAAGAAAGACGCGTTAAAATATTAGACGGCGAAGAAAGACACGTAAACTTATTTTCGCGGCCGACCATGTTTGCGGGTGTAACAGTATACATATAAATTCCACAAAGAGCTTTTTTGGAATGATGCTGAAGTGGCAGTCCTGTGTTTACTCCTCTTTTTCTTCGCCGTCAACTAGGTTTTACGTCTTTCTTCTCCGAAGTTTTATTTAAGCGCCTTTGTTCGTAAGAATTTTTTTACGCGTCTTTTTTCGCTGTCAAAACACTAGCGCGCCTTTATTCGTGTGTAGTGACGATATGTAGATTAAGTACATTGTACAAGTGTTTACATTTCAATACTACCACAATCTCTGATTTCTTATTTAGTTGTTATTATAACAGTTAGAAATTATCGAAAAAAATTATCCTCCACTAATAACGATTATATTATATAGAAATAATAAAAATCCAAAAATAATGATTATTTTATAGCGAAAAACCCAAAAAATTTCGGTCATTTTCTATCGAAAAAATAAAAATTTAAATTTTTTACCGAACAAATAAAAATCAAATATTACGATGATTTTTGATGGAAAAAATAGTACTCTAATATACCGATTATTTTTAAATTAACGCAAAAAAAATAAAAATCCAGCGCAAAAAATAAAAATCAGAATTTGTCGATAATTTTTTATCGAAAATATAAAAATTCAAAATAACGATTATTTTTTACCGAAAAAATAAAAATCTAAAATAATGATTATTTTTACCGAAAAAATTTAAATATAATATAGCGGTTATCTTATGCCGAAAACACACTAACACTAGCGCGCCTTTATTCGTGTGTAGTGACGATATGTAATTAAGTACATTGTACAAGTGTTTACATTTCAGTACAACCATAGTCTTTGATTTCTTATTTAGTTGTTATTATAACAGTTAGAAATTATCGAAAAAAATTATCCTGCCCTAATAACGATTATATTATATAGAAAAAATAAAACTCCAAAAATAATGATTATTTTATAGCAAAAAGCCAAAATTTTTCAGTCATTTTCTATCGAAAAAAAAAATAAATTTTTTACCGAAAAAATAAAAATCAAATATAACGATGATTTTTGATGGAAAAAATAGTACTCTAATAGCGATTATTTTTAAATTAACGCAAAAAAAATAAAAATCCAGCGTAAAATATAAAAATCAAAATTTGTCGATAATTTTTTATCGAAAAAATAAAAATTTAAAATAACGATTATTTTTTACCAAACAAATTAAAATCTAAAATAGGGATTATTTTTTCCGAAAAAAATAAAAATTAAAAATAGATATAACTTTTTACCGAAAAAGTAAAAATCCATATTTGACAATTATTCCTGATTGAAAAAATCCATTTACATTTTTAACAAAAAATCCACTAAGCGAAATGAGATCGGAATAGCCTATCAACATTTAATTGCGTTAGAAAATGGTGTTTAAACTTTCATTAAATTCCTGATATTTATGCAAAAGATACACGTAAAGTGTTATCGCTTTATTTAACTCAAACCCTTTCGCTTTGTCTAAGTCGCAGTCCCGAAAAATTTAATTAAACAAAAGCGATCGGATGAAATATCAACATATTTATCGATACTTTATGGCCTCTGTTATCGATAAATTCATTGATATAACTTTCGAAACATATTTGAAAGAGCTTTATAAATCCTAATTTTATTTAGATATAGGCTGCATTTCTTTATTCATACTGAACGTTTGGAATAAACTTTTTTGTTTATTTATTCTTTGGAACGTTCCTGATGATATGTTAACGTATATTTCAAACGCATTCTATTTATTCCGGCTGTGAAATGGGATTATCCGGAATGTATAAAGAAACGCAGCTGATAGCTGAAATAGTGTTGCCAACTGAAAACTTAATATATAATAGCATTATGCCGAGTTTCCACTAAGTCTTGAAATGACTCTTTAAAAATAACAGCTTCTAAAATTTTTCAATTTTGTTTAATTTGTTCGATACTTGTTCAGTAAAGCCCAATAGCTCTTTTTTATTTCTCTCACTTTCAAATTCATAAACAATTGTCAATCAATTATTGATGTTGGTGGTACCCAGAAGGTAAATGACATTTTACTAAGGCAATTGTGAATACTCATACACATACACATATAAGTATGTATGTACGTAAAGCCGTATCACGACATATGAAAAAAAAAAATTTAGTGTGTGCTAGTGTTTTATTGAAACACTTATGTCCGTCGAGTGAAAATATTGAGTGTAAAAAAAAATTTTTAAATCATTATATCGCTGAAGAGAATTAAAATTGCCCCTAAACAGTTTTGCCCTTAATTTATATCTTCACTAATTTTGCAATTGTTATCACTAGATTTTTATTTGTATGCTATAAATCTAAATCCGCCGAAAAACGGTGACTATCTTGCTGAAAATAGTAAGACTTTATTCAATTATTGTCCTGAGCGAGGCTTTTTCGGTGACATAAAAATTCAAAGAAGCGGATAGCAAATAAGAAACTTATAGCAAAACACGCGATTTAACAGGTGCATAAAAAAATTTACACCCAAAATTTTTTCTCGACATAAGTAAGTATTCAAATAAAACCGACACACACGCTAAACCTGTTTCGTGATACGCCTTAATGTACATGTATATAATGCACTCGATGTCTCTTTTTGCATATTGCTTCTTTCTTGGCAAGCATTTACTAACTACTATGTCATCTCCAACGCCACCTCCACCGCTTCGATGCACCTACCACGAGCTGGCGTCTGCTCCAGCTTGGCATAGCGGCCAAAAATAGCATAATCCATTTTAAGCTTAAGTAAATTTCGTTGTCAGTACAGTTTACTTAACCCACATAAATGGGAAACAAGAGTAACTCATACGACAGCAGCGAGCGTGAGCCAGAATGTACGTAGAGTACGCGCTATTAAAATGCAGCGCATCAAAGGCAAATTAATAAGGAGAATTTTTTTTAAGAAAATTAGCTTATTTAGAGTAAGAGATATGAATGAGATGCAAAAGAAACTCTGGTAAAATAATTAAAAAAAAAAACTAAAATTAATGTGTAAGATTCAAATAGCAATAAAGAAATTCAAGTCAGTGGCGCTAATTTTAAACATTTTATTAATTAACATCAAGCGGCTTAAGCTTTCAAAAATCATAATATTTATAGTCTGCAATATTTATTGCGTCAATTAATGTCGGTCATATCAAATACATACATTTACAGCTTGAGTGTAAACGACTGGCATAAAAGCCGGCCGGCCGGCCGGCGATCGTCTACACCGTTGCCTACACTTTCACATTTTCAGTTTGAATTAAATTTTTGCTTCACTTTGCGCTGCTGCTCATCTACTCATTATTACACAAAATTTGTTTTGGCTGAGACACTTGACTTAGCTGCTATGGCATATAGTTTATTTAGTAGAATAGAAAAAATAAACCAATAAAGTAAAATATTTGCTCTTACAAACGCTTGTACATAATGGCGGACAGCCAAGTGGGTCACTATGCTCATTCGCACGGAGGTGGCAAATGATAGCAAGTGCATAGAAATGTTCTTTATTAAATGTATTACACATACATATCGCCTACATACATACATATGTACGCGTATGAGACTTCAGCAAAAAAAGACTTGTTGTTACTAATGCTGCACATTTTCGCTTAGCTGCTGTCTCATTCAGTTGGCCATTTCCGGCGATAGATGATTAATGAACGAATTTAATTGATTTTCACTTGCACCGCTTTAATGAACAGTCATAAAATTCTTATAAA